GGGATGATTCAGCCACCACAGAGTTCGGCTTAGGGTGATGGAGTAAAAAGAGTATATCGCTTTCCCCAACTCAATACATAGATTCATATCTTCTTACTGTGGACTGAGTCTGCGAAGGCAAGTCCCAAGGTTGCGTCATTGCCTGCCGCAAAGTTGTAATAAGTGGTAAGACAATTGCAGGGGATTGCTCTCCCCTGACAATGTCGTAGAACTTGTCAGTGCTCGGATCTGGCTGGTGTTGCGCCTCGATCTCGAGCGACCGAACAAGTCTAGACATGAGCTCCCCGACCGAGATGTGGGGCTCTTCAGGCGATGATGGTCCCTGAGATGTAATAAGGGCATCCGGGGAGGTGGAATCTGCATCCGAGTCGGAGTAGGGCCCGAGGTGATATGGCTCTGATGAGGAAGTCCCTGGTGAAGTGGGACGTTCGGGTTCGACCCGCCTAGAGGTGGATGGCATATCCTCATGGGCGGACGGTGAGGAACGGTCCTGTGGGTGAGGACGAAATCCAAAGGAGTGGTAGTCCAGCCGGGACCGAGGTGGTGATGATGTTGGAGATTGGTCTCGGGCTCTCGCCATGGGCATAGGAGTCGGAGAACGAGCCCTAGGAGGATTCAACGAGCCTTGAATCTCCCCATCGGATATCGACTCGCAATGCAGCTCCCCAGACAATTGAGCAGGTAGGCCCTGTTGAGGAGCAGGTTGTATTGGAGACCCTGGTCGAGTAACCTGCATCGCTGCTTGAAGCAACGGTATTTATTTATTTAGAAAATTTCTATGCCGCCCCATTCACTGAAGCCTTGGGGCGGCTCACAAATATATCAGTTTTTCAAATGTATCAACACCGATGGTGTTGGTACCGAAGCTGCCGCCAGGATCGATGGTGCTGTCGAACCCGAATCCCTATGCCTCTTCTTACGGGGTAGTTTATCCACCTTATCTTTGACTTCTTATGGGCTGAAGATTGATCCGATCCTCTGTGCTTCCTCTTTTCCCGTTGTTTACGCAGGGGAGAAAGAGATTGCTGAGCCCTGGAGGGGGAATTTCCATCATCTGATGGATGCGGCTGAGGCATGGGCGGCGTGGGCGAAGGGCGTTGTCTGGGCATGCCCGAGGCAGAGGCTGGGTGTTCAGCCGATGCGGTTGAAGCAACGGCCTTGCGCTTAGCAGATGGAACATCTGCTGGCCTGGGCTTTACTGCAGGCTGATCTGATTGCATCAGCGCTTGGTCCCATAGGAGTTTTCGCAATCGATTCTCCCTATTTTTTCACGCTTGCTTAGTAAAAGCAAGGCAATGGCGGCATTTATCCGTCCTGTGCCCCTCGCCGAGGCAAAGGAGGCACAGGTCATGAGGGTCCGCCAGGGACATTTTGGACCCACATTCCGCACATTTGCGGAAGGCCGTCCGCTGCGCCATTGCAGAAACAGAAGAATTAGAATATAGGAAAGAGGGAAAAGTAATATTTTTGGGGTTTGTTTGTTTTTTTTTATAGGAACGAAGAGAAAAAGAAAGATAAAGCTATACCAAGGGAATAATAACTTGGAATAAGAGCAAGAATGTTAGAACAATAGAAACAACGAACAAATACTGAGTCGAGCAAGAGACGAACAGGCACAAGGCACAGCGAAGACTGGAGAAAATGGCGGACACTCCACTCTATATATACTGCCAAGGGGGAGGGGAGTTTTTCCCGCCAAAACCGTTAGCTTTCAATCTTTCTGGCCTAGGCACTGCGCAGGCGCAGCACCCATGTGTGTGAATGCACAGAGGCCACGATGAAGAACTTCCTTTCAGACCTTACTGATCTGAACTCTTAGAACTCTTGGGGTGCACAGTCATGTTGAGAGCATGACTTGTCTTCAAGCAAATCCAAGAAGAACTCCATGCTGACTTAACACAGCAAAAACTGAACTGTGGGAGTAGGGCCAGCACATCAGGAGATGTAGGGGGCAGAGCTGGCATGCAGGGTACCATTCCTCTATCCATGTTAAGCCCTCACACATTTAAGCAAACATCAGAACAGAGCTATGGAGTACAGCACAATATCTGGCTTTACAACTGAGAGCACAAAGCAGTGTAACAAAACCATTTACACAGTCAATTCCTGCCTGCATTTTCGAAAGCATGTAGTGTGTATGTAAAATATACTGTGGCGAAGTGTGCACCTTTGAGACAGCCTCATGTTCAAACACAACTCAGTTTTCAAAAGGTCCAGGAATGAGCGAGGTCCCTCAAACATCATGCTTTACTATTTTCAGCAGGTATTGCAATGGCAAGTGTCACATATGCTTTTAAAAGGTTAAGTACATACCAGGAGAATCAGGCCATTACACAGGTGAGCTAGGAATTCTTCCATGTTTTGGCCCTCTAGATACCTTACTAGCACATACTGAATATTTGCAGGAGGGGATGAATAGTACCAAAGAGATCCTGTATACATGTCTTGGGCCATCTGGTTGAAGCCATGGTTGACAGATCTGCAAATCATTGTACATGTGTGTTTTGGCAGTCTTGACTCATGGTGTTTAGTCTGCTTTAATGAGAAGCTGCAGTGCCTTACAGACACCATATTGTAACTTTTGCTTGCTGTTCTTGTGTCAAGTGACTCAGCGATCATAACTTTTGTGAGATTTAAACAACCCTTGCATAACTAAAACTGACCACAGGTTATGCAAGGTTTGTTTAACTTGTTTGTCACCAGGTTCATATAACATGATAACTCCCCAAGCAGGAGCTGGCTATTCAAACTGGCAGGCACCATCACCCCTCAAAAGGCCCATCCTCACCATGGGTTAAGCAGCCCAACAGCAGATGCTCTGTGAATAGACCAACTTAATGGAGGCAGTGAGCCAGGAGTGGGGATAGAGGGTGAATTGTGTGTTGGCACAGCAGAGCAATATATCAAGATTTGATGAAAATGATAAAACGAGTGTGGTTATTGTGGAGTCTACAAAACTGACAAAATCTGCATAGGAGAAAGGAGAGTAAGAAACTCGCTTTCATGAAAGCCACTGGGTCAAGGAGTAGGAAGAAGAACATGGGGAACCTGGACTGTGTACAATGCTGAAGGAGAGAAGATAATCAGAGAGAGGGAATTCCACTGTAGAGAGGTCAGACACAGAGTAATTTTTGGAGAAGACAAGATCAAGTGAATGCCTAAGGCAGTGCATGGGGCAACGATCAAAGGAGTCAGTCCAGAGGCAATGATCAAAGAAAGACACAAGGAAGGGGAGACAGGAAGCAGGATTATCAACATGAATGTTGAAATCACCAAAGAGCAGAATGGAGTTATTGTTCAAGAGGAAGGAGGAGAGTCAAGCATCAAGGTCTGAAATGAAGCCTAAGAAGGAGCTGGAAGACAGTATGGAACAGCAGCACAAAGACATAAGGGAGAATATAGAGAAATTCATAGAATGAATTTCAAGTGATAGAAAAGCACTGAAATGGGCAGTTGGGGAGAAGGGGAAGAGGAAGGCAGGGGATAGAATGGGCATCATTTGCAGGGAAGGCCTCCACCACTATGGAGTTGAGCAGCATGCCAATCAGCGATGCGACTGCATGTGCGGTCAGAAAGGAACTGGGGGGCTGGGCAGGAAACCCCCCCCCTCCCTTATCCAGGGACCCAGAAGGGTTGGACTGGGGCTCCCGGCCACTCTGTGAAGCTGAGCTGTCAAAGTTTTTCCTTCAATCCAGGCCTTGCACTGTGAGGCAAGGTCCATGTATGTGATGGGCAGAAACCATGAAGAAGAAAGAGTTATTTTCCAGGAGGAGGGCTGGAACTATGGCAGTGTTAGAATGGTGAGGTTAGTTTTAGTTTTCGGTGAAGACAAGTGGCTGGAAGGATCACAAAGGGAAAATAATTTGTGGGGCTTTTTAGAAAAGCCTTTTCCTGTGCTCTGTCAGTCCCATACCAATACCATTCTTAGGGTTGTATCCTTAACTTCAAATGAAATGTCACTATATAGTAAGTTATGCAGAAGCACAGACAGTTCTGTTCTAGCCCTTTGAACCAACAATTCTCCTTTAAGAAAGCTAATGCTTTCTGCCATGCAGAAGGCACATTAATTACCCTCTACTTGTCCCTAGAAATGTTATGTCTAGCTACAAATTAGCAGCATGTCTAGAAATTGTGTAAGACTCATTTGGGTATTAAAGTTCTTAGACTTTATTAAGATTCTAGGATGTCCAAGACCATTCAGAAGTATTGCGGTATATTCACCCTATGAATTTTGAGCAAGCAGTGTTCTCTTCTTCCAAGGGTATGATAAAGCAACACTGCTCCCTTTCATTTTCAACAGTTCACTACTTTTAAAAAAGGTGCTCAACCTAGTGAAAACTTCAGGAGTAATTTTTTTTACTTCCTGAGAAACTGCCAACTTGCCTTCACAACACGTCAGTGCTTTAGCAGCTACTCAAGGTGGACGGTGTCTGCAGAAGGGCCTGGTGACTGGCTCTTATGCTGGTAAAGAAAATTCCCTCAGCCAGGGCACCTCAAAGGTGCCCCTTTGTTCTTCCATGCTGTTATTCATGGCAATTGAGTAACATACCCAAGATGCAAAACTCTGTTCCAGACAACTAGAACTGCTGGCCTGGGAGAAAAACGAAGATGTTATTTTTTTTCCCCCCAGGATGTTGGTTGTGCAGAAGAATTTTGAAATGAGGCCATTAATGAGATTCACAAGCTGGAGGCAGCAAATCTGTATTTTAGCTGTATGGGACTCAATATAATTAGCATTTAATTTTCAGGGACCTGTTGTGCGACAGATTAGAGCAAGTCGTAACGCTGTCCTTATTTTTCCTTCTGCAACTGCTATTTTAAAATGTTTTGCTGATACTGGATTTAATTTTGGACTGCTTGTTTGCTTACTTCTTTTCAACAAATCCACTACCTCTGCTACATTGTGCTGTCAAATATTAAAGTCTTGTTTTCCATCCTCACACTAGAACAGACGAACCCAGCCAAGCCATCACAACATCACAAACAAAGCCAGCACTTACGTATTGCACACTGCCATGGTCTGACATGACTCTCCTGTACAAAATTCAGAGATTGTACTATACTGTAAATTGATATGGTGGAAAAAAGTTGTTGCTGAAAGAGAAAAAAACAAAAAACAAGGTATTACTATTACTTGTTTAAAATTTTGGTACAGAAAAAGATGTCTGACCTATGCAATTATTAACTGGTTGAATGACTTGCTTGGCTAAGCTACAATATTTTTCCATCACCTAAACACAACTTTTTCTCTGAAGAATGTAATTATTGTGAAAGATGGTACATGCATCAGTAATATAAAGTATTAAGTTTATTATGCATTTCTCAATTATATACTTTGTTGATTGACTTCAGGAAACAATTGCAGGGCAAAGACAAGACAGAGCTTAGGATCTCCATACAGTTAAGTAGAATTTAGTGTTACCTCTTTAATCCAAGTTGGCAGGTGTGAACAAGAAGAAGCCAAAAAACAGCTTCATGTGCATGCTTTTGTAATGTAGCAAGAGTCAAATGCAAGTCAGGTACAGCAGCGAGATTGCCAGTCATGAGAGTGGCAAAGAAACATCTTACCGCCTCTCATTCAGCAGAACTTTTAGGGTTATCTGGGGCCTACTACATGCTGGCCCTAAGGGCATTGTAGACCAATCTGAGGCTGCTATGACATATTTGGTAGACATTTCCAGGCCAAAATCTCTTACAGGCATTGTGACTCAGACTCCCATGTTACTGCAGTTGAATCAGGTGAGCACTGCCTGGTTCAGCTTCCAGTTTCAGTTGATACAATACAAGGATCTTGGCAAAGCACTTGGACAGGTTCATGCAACCAAGTCCATGCTGGCCTCTCTTGACTTACAGAAACTAGCAGGAAGGGAACAGTCAGCATGGGCAGGGAGGTGATTATTGCCTCCTTGTGAGGGGGAGTGGTCCCAGGCTGTCTGAAAGAGATGGTGGTAAGACCACTCCAGAAGAAACCCTAAGTGGATCCACATCATCTTTAGAACTTGAGGCTGCTGGCAAATTTCCTTTCTGGGGCAAGGCCCTTGAGTGAGTGGTAGCTGCCCAGTTCCAGGCATTCCTGGTACGAGACTGATTAACTGGATCCCATTTCAGTCAGGATATAGGTTGGCTTTTGGCATAAAAATAGCCTTGGTCACCCTGTCTGATGACCTATTTCTTAGAGCTGGGAAATGTGACCCAGTTGATACTGCTGGATCTCTCAGTGGCTTTCAGAACTCTGGATCATAGCATTCTTCTGAGGCAATTGTCTGAGCTGGGAGTGAACAGCACTGTTCCTACTTGGATGGCCACCTCATGCTGGGAATGCTTGGGAAATACTGCTCAGCCTCGTGAATTCTGCAGCATGGAAGTTCCTCAGTGATTGGTCTTATCCCCCATGCTATTCAATCAATACCTACATGAAACTAGGAGTTTTGGAGTGGACTGCCATTAGCACACTATTGACATGTGGCTCAATTTCACCTTTTCACTTACATTAGGTAAGGCTGTGGGTGTGCTAAATTAATCCCTGGCTGTAACAATGGACTGGATGAGTAAACTAGTGAACTGAAGCTCAGTGCAAACAAGAGTGAGATGCTGTTAGTGAGTGGCTCTTCTGAGTGAAAAGCAGTTCAATCTGTTCTGGACACGGCTGCATTTCTCTGAAGGAGCAGGTTTATAGTTTGGGGGTTCCCCTGGTGTCATCTTTCTCACATAAGGGTCAGGTGACCTCAACAACTTACAGTGCCTTCTCTCAGGTACAACTGGTGGTACACCTACAACCCTGACTGGACAGCTAGATGGCTAACTGTCTCAGTAATCTATGCTCTGGTAACTACCAAGCTAGACTATTGCAATGTGCTAAATGTAGGGTGCCCAGAAGACTGTTCAGAGGCAGTGGCTTATGCAAAATGTGACTGCTAGATTAATATTTGGGAGCAGAATATCTGTACAGGTAATACCATGGCTGCCTGTATGTTTCTGAGCCTGATTCATAGTGCTGTCTTTACCCTATAAAGCCCTACATGGCTTGGGACCACATATGCAATGCAATGCTTCTCCTGACCTGAATCTACACAAACAAGATGAACAACAACATCTGAAGCCTTCCTTTTAATGCTACTTCCAAGGGAGGCTTGGAGGACCCCAACAAGGGAGCATGCCTTCTCAGTGGTGTCCCCCAATTACGGAATGTCCTCCTCACTAAGGTCCATCTAGCACCAACTCCATCATCCCTTCAGTGCCTGGTTAAGCCTGTCCCCTGCTTAATGGCTTATGGTGGAACATGTCAACTGTTTTAATAGGTCTAGTATGTATGCATGTATGTATGTATTTATAGGCCACCTATAATTGCCGAGGCCTTCCTAGGCACTTACAATGTACAACATACCAACAGAATATTGAAACTAGTATAGCTGTTTAAACTATTTTAAATTTTGCATACTGAAATTTTATCCTGTATTTTATAGTATCGTATGCTATATTTTATACTACATTATTTTATGCTATCCTTTTATTGCATTTGTATTTTATGCAGCATTGTAATATAATGACATTTAATGAGTTGTTGTGAACTGCTTTGGCTATTGGGCCGCATAGAAATGAAATGGAATGAAATAAATAATAACCAGGCGTGTACATTAGCATCATATTCCCCTGGTGATAAATAAGCCTAACTAGCTAGCAGTTCAAGGAACTGGTACTCACCTATATAAACCTGATCAACCACTGATTCACGTGCCTAAAGAAAAACTTCCTTTCATACTAAGATGTCCATTTAAGAGCTCAGTTGTGGTGGGCAGCTCCCCTCCCCGCTGTTGTTGCTATTTTGCTGTGGCACCGTTTGTGAAATTCCCTTCCTGAATTAGCTTTCATGAATGCACACACACACACACACACACACACACACACACACACAGAGAGAGAGGGAGGGAGGGAGGGAGGGAGGGAGGGAGCTGTTCTTTCAGGCTTTTTAAGCAATATTAGCTGATTCTGTGGTAGATTTAATGGATGTTTTATTGGTATAATGTTTTTAACTGAAAATCATCATTAAATCAGATTTATAAATCTCACAAATAAAGATGGATGGGGGGGTGTAGACAGATGAAATCAGTACCTGAGACAGACCTAGGAATTCTGAGAAAGCCAGTGTGATGCCATGTTATGAGCGTTGGACTGGGACTGGCTCAAACCCTCACTCGGTCACAAAGCTCACAGGGTGACAATGGGCCAGTCATACACTCCCAGCCTAACCTACCTCACAGGGTTCTTGTGAAGATAAAAATGAAACAGGAACCTGTAAGCTACTCAGAGTTGACTGGAGAATAAAAATGTAAATTAAGGGTTGGATCCAGATTTATGCTTGATCAGCTGCACTCATGGAAGTGAACTTCTGTCCTTCCTCCTTCACATAGCAATGGCTCCAACCTTGCAAAAATCCTACACAAAGAGTCAAGGTGAGCTGTGATGTGAATGGGAGGGGGGAATCTCCAAAAACTGGAGGCAGGACCTTCTTGCTCTCATGGAAAGCAGATCCAGTAAAATAACATCTGCCAATATCTCTCCTACATTATAAATGTTTCTTTCCAAGCTACTTCTTGCTGACAAGTTCTTTACAAACAATTCAACAATGCTAGCAGGCACGTGTGTCATCATAAGCAGCCCTGAGCCATATGCACCATTCAGAGCATCAGAGCAGACTGGCTTCAGAAACACGCTTCTCAGCGGGTGGCTAGAAGGCCATGCAGATGAAGATGTGCCTGAATAGCCAGGAGAAGCAAGCACAATTTTCCATTTTTAGGAACACAGATATTTCACTCTGAATTCGGTGCCTGGGACACCTCTAAGCACAGAGGTCTCAAAACCTTCGGGCCAATGGGCACACTGAGAACCAGGAGAATGTCATGGGCCCTCTTACCACTCTGGACAGAGATTTGTTCATTCAGAAATGGATCTCATGATGACAGAAGGCAATCTGGTGAAACTAAAATAAGTATATTTGTCAAAAACATAAGGCAGAAATAGGGTTTGAGCTCCAAAACACACTTTTGAACCCAAGTAACAATGGCACTGGAGGGCAGAAATTCATAGTACAGAATGCTAGCTTTCTAATCTGAAAAAATAATATTAATCAGAAGGAGCAAGAAACATAGTGGATGCCAAGGGAAGTGTCCACAGTCATACTGGTGTCCATGAATGGATGTTAGAGATTGCACTTCTTGTCCTATACTGAACAAAGTGTCCCCCTGTTTCCTGTAAACTATTATTTGAGGTTGTATTTCAGTTTTAACTGCCCAAGTTACAATCAAAGCTTAGTGATCCACTTTTAGAAAACTTTTCAAAAAGAAAAATTAAGTTCTTTCTAATGATCTCTAACATGTTTTGTAAACAACAAAATGGAATAAGAATTTTTAGCCTTGCTGAACACAGTACCAGAATGCAGTAACTTGCCCCTTACCAGTTCTTTTTAATTTAAAAAAATCTACCAGCAAGAAAACTAGCATATACAAGTGTTCAATTGTTAAAAATATAACATTACTTACTATTGCTAGCTAGCCACTCATTAAGGTCTATTTCCCGGGGTAACATGACTAACTCTTTGAATTCAAAGTCAGTAATCCTGGACTTCGTGTATTCTGGCTCTAAATAGAGTTTCTTTTCTTCTGGCACAGGCTTTTTACCATTTGGTTTTCCCTTGGATTTCCTGCAAAACAAAAAGGAAACAATGCCATGAATTACAATCTGAAATACAGATTACCTAAACTCACTGGACACGGAATATTTTATTTAAAGTTACATAATTCAATTTTTAATCAACAAAATGGACCTACAGTTAACATGGCCTGTGCAGGGCTCCTAAGCAAGCAAAAGGTATATGCTTCCTGGCAAGTTGCACATGGTCTGCAAATGATTTTGCATCTCTGCTGTCTTCCTGACAAACAGATCATGAAAACAGTGCATGCATGAAGCTGTTTTGTTTAAGCCCTCTTCTGCCAGATGATCGATTAATGCTACCTTCTCTAAACCATGGATGTCCACTTTAGAAGATTACAGCCTGAAATATTTAATCACCAAGAATCACCAAGGCAGTATTCTGGACCATTACAGAGAATGCCCAGGGCTTATCAATGTCAGTCATAAGAGGAACACGTTGTTGTGAAAGCTGCAATAAAGGATGATGATCTCCAGGGACATCAAAAACCCCATCCTAATGATTTTGTATCTGTTTCTACATTCTATATTACATTTTAACACACATCTCCAAGACTGATCTATTAAAAATGCAGTTAGTAAGGTCAATTTGGGAGTGGGGGTGGTGAGGATAAATGCACAAAGCTAAGTCACCCTGCATAGTCTACTGGATGTTATTACATTATTTTTGCATTATTTGCATATTATGAAGTACATTTCCACCTAATAAATGTCAGGCTTCTCATTTATAGCCTGCCTTTCCAGAGAGTTCAAGGCAGCTTATACAAGATTCTCAGGCTGTCTCCATCAAGACAGAGGCCATGTCTTGTGCTCTTCTTTTGGTCCCCATTTCATTATTCAAACACCTGATATTGTACAGCTAAAGGAATATGAAAAATCATGTACAGTTGCGTTGCTCTATTAATGTTTAAATCTGTTTCTCAAAGTGATCCAACTGATAAATCAAGTTGAAACTATGCACTGTGCGTCAAGTTAGTTGTACCGCTGTGAGTTTGCCTCTTAACAAAGAAAAGTCCAAATATGTAAGCCCCTAATAGTCTACTGACAAACTGGTCACATTCTGTATAGCAAGCCTTTAACTTCCCTGTACCTGACTAGGCAAAATATATAGAAGTGGAACAGAATAGACAAAAACACTGATTGATTGTATTTCTATACTGCCCAATAGCTGAAACTCCCTGGGCAGCTCACAACTGAAACTATAAAATAACAAACATGTTATACAGTAAACGTTTAAAATGCCAGTATGCTATTGCCAGTATGCTTTTATGAACTAAAAGCAAAACCTAACAGCAGTGCAGAGATAAAAATACAGCAACAGATTTAAAAGAGAAACTGGCAGGCTAAAACAGGGAAGGTCCTCTCCTAGTGTCAGAAAGACCCTCTCTGGGAAACTCCTTGCACAAGTGACATGCCACAAAAGGAAAGGTTCTCTTCTTAGTGGCCATCTACCTTGCTTCTTTGGGCAGCAGTTCCTGTAGAAGGGCTAACGAGGACAATCTTAGGGTCCAGGCAGGTATATATGTGTGAGGAAATTATCCTTCAGGTAACCTAGTCCCAAGCTATTTAGGATTTTGAATTGGGCCTGGACATGGACATGTGCAGTACTGGCCTAATAATGATCATATCTCCATTAAGCCAGTCTCCATTAACAGTCTTACTGCCCTGTTTTGGACCAGCTAAAATTTCTGGACCATTTTCAAAGGCAAGTCCCATGTATAATGCACAGCAGTAATCCAGGCAAGACTGGAGCATGGGAACAGTAGCTAGGCTAGCTGTTCCCAGGTAATGATGCAGATGGCATATCAGCGTAAGCAGGTAAAAGGTGCTGGATCCAGGAGCACCCCTACACTAGGAACCTGATCCTTTAGGGTGAACACAACCCTCTCTGTAACAGGTTGAATATAACTCACCTGAACAGTTGACAGACAGACAGGCACTTAACAGTCCAGCTTGGACTGAGTCAATTTACTGACCCTCATCTGGCCCCTTACTATGCTCAGGCTTTTGGATGAATCAGTCTAAATGCAAGGTTGCCAAAAGTGAAATTGCTTGAAAAAACAAAGCAAGGAGCATGATATTACAGTGTCTTCAGGCTGAAGACAATGATGTACTTACTGCACTGTATAACATTTGGGACCCCTTCCACTTCTATTATTCTTTTCAGATCACCATTCTCATATAAGATAGAAATATGAAATTACAAATTAATGGTACTAGTCTGCTGCTCACTGTAGAAAACAAATGCCAAAAATAGAAAACTGTAATCATGTAATACTTTGTTTTATTTTTTATGTGTTTATTTGTGCTGGCAAACTGCTGCCACTTCAAAGAAGAAATGGAGAAATTATGGGCTGTGCCCCATTAGGTAAGATCAACCATCCATGGAAGGAAGTGAAGAGGATTAAGGGATCAAAGGACAGCCTGTCAAGAAGCCAAAAAGCAGTCATGAAGTAAGCAACTACCCACCCAAACAGGCAGATATGCAAGGAAGCAAAGGAAGTGTTTTTCCTATGAATGCATGCTATAGACTTCCACTGAGCTATCCGTTTTCTCCCTGTCAACCGCTCAGTAGTGCTCCCCCTCTGCCGACAAAGTGCATTTCTCCTGTGATACAAGACAAGCACCCTGGAAGAAAGTACAGAATGAACTAATTCCAATTATCTTATTTCTCAATTCTTAGGAAGAAAAGCTTTCTAAATCACAAAATTTTGCAGAGCAGCAGTGCGATCACATTTTCCAGACTCCCGAAATATTGAATTCAGTGGTTGTATAGCACTTTGAAGCACTATAACTACTTTGCAATTCTGCTGAGTTTTGGTACTACAAATAAGTTTGTTTCTACCAGCAAAAGTGCTGAGCAAAGAGACCAGGGAATCCACAACAATTACTAATTGCCCTCTAACACTGATATATGTTTCTGCATCACAAAATATTCCTTCAACTAGTTGCTGACTAATTTGAAATGCTTCTACTAGAAGCATACCAGCTTCGACAAATGAGTTAGAAAGGCAAATGAAAAGCCTACTTCATGAAGCTTAAATGTCAGTTAACATCCAGCTTGAGGAATGCAAGTTTTTCTTTGTTGCTCAAAGTCAGATCACATCTCTTCGCAATCTCCAAGGAAATAAACCTCAGTTATGTTAGCCAGTGAAAACATGACTGCAAACCAATTCTTCAGGCGGTTCTTTAAGCAAAGGTTACTTGAAAAAAAAAACACACCAAACCACAGTTGATGCAAATGTCACAGGCACAAATCATCCTACAGAGGAAAAAAGGGGAGGGGAGGGTGGAAGAGAATGCCAAAAAAATGGGGAGAGAATACTGAGGTCACTAGGAGAAAAGTTAACACTTCCTAAGGTTTAGTGCTTCTAAGTAGCTTTCCACACACTCATAACAGCTTATACTCAGCTGAAAAGGACCATCAGTGCCAGTCCAGGGCTTCTCTCTATAAGCAGTTCTAGTATCATGTACAATTCATATCAAAGTGCTTTCTATTAGTCCCAGTGTGAATACAGCCTCCAAGAGTGCCACTGCAAGCTCCTACAAGCCTATCGCCAAGCACTCTGTCTGACAAGTTACCAACCACACTGCAACCTGCCCCTAACTTCAAGGGAAGTTTGCAATTTCAACTCTCTTGTTATGTGAGACTGGACAGGAGAGAGAGCAGGAGAGAGAGCAGCGTGATTTGCATGTAATGAGAAGCCACCATGGGTTTTTGTTGGTGTGGCTGCTGCCATTTTTCAAGCCTAGGAAGGAATGTACTTTATCTTGTCATTGAATGTGAAGTTGGTGAGTGTGGGTTGTTGTGGTGACTTGTCAAGCACCCCATCAATTCAATCTTGCCAGGCTTACACCTGCTATGACAAGCTGTGGTGCTTTAATGTTTAAAAGGGCAGTAGCTGCCACTAAGAGAAAATTCCCCCACAAAAGCTTCTTATTGACTCTCTCCTTAACTATCTAACAAGTCTTAGCTCAGATTAAGGGTAGGCAATTTGATCTAATTTCAGTAGTGAATAATTTCTGCAAACACTGAGTCCTAAATTGGGCCCATCCTGTTTCTATGTCAATCTGTGATTTAGTTGTTTGCAAAAATCCAACTTTAAATAATATTTAATATATATTTTCTTTCACAACATGATTTTTAAAATGTATTTTGATACATTTGAGCCAACAACCATATCTGAAGGTACAGGAAGTGCAAAACCTAGAGGACAAAAATGTTCCATTCCACATTTGAAAGGTGTGAATCAGAATTCATAATTCTCATGTCCAAAATTCTTCCATCTAGCACTCCCAAACAGCTCTAAAAGTGATTTTCAAGCACTTGTAATTCCTTCTGTGAGACTCAAATGGCCTCTCCAAAACCTCCCAACATCAGTTCTTCCCCCACTACTACGGTGTGCATTGAAAAGTCACACAATGCTTTTTGAAATTAAATTGTATGAACCGCAGTCGGAAAACACCTAATACAAATGGAAACTTAGGACTTGATATTCTGTACATAGACACAGATAGATAAACAGAGATATCAAGGTGCAAAAGATAATCATGCACTAGTATAACAATATGTTATCAGTTATGAAAGGCTCACAAATGTATAAATTAACTTGTATAATGCATAATGCATTTCCCTTATAATAAAGAGAAATAACACAGGAAAGATTTATCTCCCATTTCCATGTATTTGAAATGGAACCCCTATTTCTTTCCCTTCACATATCCAAGCAGAAAGCATCAAATGTGAAGCTTCCTTTGTTGATCAATATGGAAGACCTAGAAATATATTGTGTGCTCCCAGACAGAGGGTTCCTAGTATTTCCAGTTAAAATACAATGTATCTTTTGCTTTCATCTTTCCCTCCTTAAATAATTTTCTTCTCTGGTGAGAGAAACAACTGGAGAAGCAGCAATGAACACAAAAGCAAAGCAACACTGTCTTTCCCAGCCCCCATAAAATTCCATGAATGAAGCATGCCAATGGTATAATACA